TACTAGACAGACTTTCATGTAATTCCCTAAATGGATTTTTCATATCTTTAAGTTCTTCTATTTCTTCTTTTCTAGCCTGAGACTTTCCTGAATTTTTTTTGTCATTTCTATGAGTCTTTTGGTTCAAAATCATATCTTCCACAAATAGCAATAGTTCCTTATAATTGTTTATTTATTCTTTGTTACTTTTTTCTTTTTGCATCTTTGACTGACTATATTAGTCAAAAGCTTTGCCTCAGGCTCTGAGATTCTTTCTTCTGCTTAATCTAGTCTGTTGTTAGAGCTTTCTGGGTGTGTTTTGTAATTCCCTAAATGACTTTATATTGGTCTTTACCTTCTTTTTTGTTGTCTCTCTCTTTAGTGAGTTTGTTATATTTTTCATTCATATCTTAAAATATCATTTTATTCCTTTGTGTTGGTTTTCAACTTTCTCCTCAATTTCATTCACCTTGTTTGCCATCCATATTGTGCTTTCCATTTCTGACATCTCAGCAATTTCCTTTTGGTTGGGGTACATTGCTATGGATGTATAGTGATCCTTTAGGAGTGCCAAACTAGCTTGCTATTCATGTTGCCAACATTCTTTTACTAGTTTCTTCTCATCTGAAATATTTTCTCTCAGCCCAGGGCTAATAGGTTTGCAGTGCACTTGTTCCCCCTTGCTGGGAACTCTCCTACTTGGTGAGAAGAAAGAGAAATCCACAGATAGGGCTTTTGTCTCCTACTCTGGGGACTAACCTGAGCAGAAAGGCAGAGATGCCCTGAGAGCCTGGCATACGGGTATTCTCCTGCATAATCCCATTCCTCTGTGGTTGTCACAGACCAAGCTGGAGCTGGAGGATATTTATTCAGATTAGTCGGTTAGTCTGTAGCCTTCTGTTGCAAGCTCAGGCAGGGTCTGGTCAGGTCAATTTCTATGGAAGTGGGTGGCATGACTGAATGAGATACTATTCAGTCCTTAAAAATGATGGGGACTTTATATTCTTTGTATTAACCTGGATAGAGTTGAAACACATTCTTCTTAGTAAAGTATCACAAGAATGTAGAAGAATCCAGTGTATTCAATTCTAATATGAAGCTATTAGATGATCTCATACATAGCCACATAAGAGAAAACTCAAATAAATTCAAGGGGGGTAGGCAGGGGAACAAGGGAACAGTGAGAGAGAAGGTGGAAGGGGATGGGGGTTACATTGTATGGAACACCTCTTGGGGGTGGGACACAATTATAAGAATGATTTTACCTAAAAAATGCAAATGGTGTAAACTAATTCTTTGTATTTTCAATGAACTTGAAACTATCATACACACACACACACACATAGAAAAACAAAATGAAAGCGTGTGTGACAGGATCCTGGTTAAATTAATTTAGTGTACAGAATAATTTAGGTGCAAAATATCTTTCAATGTTGTGCCTTCCTTTTTTTTGTTTGTTTCTTTGTTTTTGTTTTGAGACAGAGTCTCATTATGTTCCCTCAGTAGAGTGCCATAGCGTCACAGCTCACAGCAACCTCAAGCTTTTGGGCTTTAGCGATTCTCTCACCTCAGCCTCCCAAGTACCTGGGAATGTAGGCACCTGCCACAATGCCTGGCTATTTTGTTGTTGTTGTTGTTGTTGTTGTCGTCATTGTTGTTTAGCTGGCCTAGACCTGGTTCGAACCAAGCAGCCCTGGTGCATGTGCCGGTGCCTTAACTACTAAGCCACAGGCACCAAGCCAATGTTGAGTGTTTTTAAAAAGTCAGCCTTGCAAAGGTACTCAAACATTTACAAAATACCTTACAATGTTGAGTGTTCTTATAAAGTCAGCCTTCTAAAGTTACTCAAATATTTACAATATATCTTAGAATATTGAGTCCCCTTTTAAAGTCAGCCTTCCAAAGTTACTCAAACATTCCCCTGCATCCCTCACTGTGTACTTTGTTTCGTAAAGACATTTCTGATCTTACAATGAATACTTACACCTCCTTGGGTTATGCTCTTTAATTATGTGAGGTTATTGTCTTATTTCACATATTTCATCTTGATGAATTTCTTTTGCTATTCACACATGGTACACCCTAATATAACTTTGCCTAACCTTTTACTTTCAGCTTTTCTGAGCCACTTTATCTTAACAATATTTATGACTAGGTATAGTTGAATTTTTTTTTAATCTAAAAGAAGCCTGCTGTTGTGTGTGTGTGTGTGTGTGTGTGTGTGTCAATGCATTTATTTTTATAAATGTAATTTAAAATTTTTTTAGCATACACATTAATCAACTAACTTTTCTCTTAGGGAATTACCTATTTTGGTACTGTACTAATTTATCTATTTTGTTTGGAGTGTTTTTCATTTTCTATTTATGCAAGCTAATAACTTAAAGATGATGGCCCCCCTTTTTTTGCCATAGGGTGAGTCTTTTTATTTATATTTTTGTTTATGATTGCTTTTAAACTTTGGATAAGTTTCAAATTTAATGAATATAATTTCAGAACTTTTTAAATAATCAAAGCTATTTTTTCCTTTGTCATTTATCCCATTCTTTAGTTCTTAAAAATTGTCCTTTTTCTGTTTCAAAGATTTGTTAAATGTTTATTTCAAATTTCTTTGATTTTTAACATGGATTTTATTTTAAATGTTTATTTTCTAAATAAGTTAATTAAGTGATTCTGGAATTATTTATTTAGCTAGTGAAGCAAGACTCTATATTTATGTTTATAATAAATGGCTTACTAATTCTTCATCTCCATTAATTGAAAAGCTCTCTACAATTTATTTGTGATGGTATCCTTTTTCTCTTATACAGTTTTATATGAAAAGGGGTTTGTATCTCAGTCTATTCATTGTCCAATGTTCTAGATTGGGTTAAAAAAACAAAGTAAAAAGACTCATTGTACTCAATAAATTTTAATAAGGTCAAAACTATAATTTTTCATCTCACATGTCTTCCTTATTTGTATCTGGATTTTATAATTTCCAGACTTCCTGCTTTTTAGAAGACAGCATTTTCATTCTTTAATAAATGAACTTTGAAGCAAAATTGTCATCAGTTTAATTTTATTTCATAATGAACAAAACATTTCAAATAAAACAAATACAACTTAAAAAGTCTCCAGTTTGTGCTTTCTTGTCACATTTCGTACACTGCACAACATTTATAAGATACTCATTTTCATTGTTTTATAACTGGGATGGGAGGCAGCAACAATTTTGCCAGGTGGTTAAAATACACCAGAGAATTTCTGCCTTTATTTTTCTAATTGTACAGATATAAAGTAGTTTTTATTCCCAGTATAAATTCTAGATAATAACCACCTTCTCTGCTCACTTCTCACATTGGACACTAAGGATGACATGCAAGTGAAAAAACAGCCTGGTTACACAAATGATGCTCTCTTGAAATCTTACTTGTTGATATGACAACTGCTGAATTCCCATGTTAAAAACCAACTTACAACAAATTGGTACTCCTGTTAGCTGTTTTTTTCTTCCCCATCCTTATATCTTTACTTCTTCCTCTTTCTTTTTTTCTTTCTTTCCTTCTGGTCCATTTGATTGGAGAACATTTATTTATAGGCATTGTGAAGATTAACTATCCTCAAGGAATGATGGATAATATAAGCTAAGGAAAAAATGCTATCTGGAATCTCCTATTATAAAACTTTTTACATCCTTGAGCCATAGTCAGACACTGTCAGTTGTGACCAGTGCAATGTGAAAACTAAAATGAGAGTACATTTTTTTTTTTACTGAGAATCCCAGTGTTCATAGAAACAAACAGCACCATAAGCTCGATGTTCACAGGCTTTTGAGAAATACTTTAATGAACTCATGCCCTTAAATGAAAAGGGCAGCCACAGACATCTGGCCACTAAATTCTTTGGTGCACATATTTAAGGATGCATCTTCCCTCAGAAGGGCAGCCACCTATTGCAGCAGAACTGCAATCCTCACAGAACTGCACCGAAAACCACATAACATGGTCTTGTCACTGTACAGACTCTTCAGAGACTTTGGGATTGAAATGCATGGAGGAGCAAAGAAGGGATGGTGCTTGATGATGAAGAGTCAATCCAGGCAGACACATTCTTCATGGATATAACATGTATTCAAAGAAAAATTCTCTCCCCAGTGACTCATACTTAACTTGTCTATGAAGTTATAAGAGAAGACCCCAGAAAAGTGCTATTGCAGTTGCCAGATCTAACTGTAAAAGAGAAATGTATCCTTCAGGAAAACGGTGAGCCTAGTGTTCAACTCAAAGTGGATTTTTAGTCAAATGAACTGGATGTGTGGCTGATGCTTTTCTAACAACCATTCTATAATGATGGACAAAAGTCATATCATTATGTTAATAAATCCAAGAACTCTGCCCCAGTAATGTGAATAACTATTCTTGGGGAGCATAAAAGGAATCTCTCTGGGAAAAAAAATGTAAGTGCCAAAAATAAAGCATCCTATGACACCAACAGAGTTCAGCTTCCTGTGATTAATTTCCACACTTCTCACAGTGGAATCAGGAGCTTTACAATCTCCACTGTTCTGTCATTTTGTGGTCATATAATCCATTACAAACCCAAGATTGTGACATCTCTGTACGCTTCACTTGTCATGCTATAGAAAGTGAAATTAAAATTGCTTAAGATCAAAATTTTTTTTAAGTGACAAAGTGATATTTTTTCTCTTTATAATCATGTTGGAAAGTGAATGAGGATTGTAAACCATAAATATCTATTTCAATCAAAAGTATACATACTGCCTATAGCTAATTCTCAGGTTAGAGTGATTATCTCTGATAAGCATCCCATTGAATACAAATACATAAATATATAACTATTTGGGAAAATCATACATTTTGAGACATAAGGAAAAAATCGTATTCAAAGACAATTTGCTTTACATTGTAATGTCCAACATTCACAAATGTATTTCAACTTGGAAATTCATTAGTTGTTTGAGTCATGCCCTGGAAATTCTGTTTAGCTTATTAATATTGTCCATTCCATAAAAGACAAGACAAGAAAGAAAGAAGAACCCTAGGTACCCTCCTCAAGAATCCGGGAATGCCTTTATGATGGAGTCATAAGCAGGTGGGGGCGGTGCTGACAGCCCAACTCGAAGACTGTTAGTGGACCAGTGGAGGTCAGGGCGGCTCAGACTGTGGCAAGTGCTGATGCCAGGAGACGTATTGGAAGAGGGGAGAGTCACCAGCTGACTTTCTGTTTCCACAGGAAGTGGTGGACTTTGCAGAAAGGGATGAAAAGTAGAAGCCCTGAAGCTTAATTTTCTTGGGAAGGAATTTCCTTGCTCCAGGGAAGCCTGTCTCTGGAAAGTGAGACTGGCCAGGCTGAGGTTGCTTCGACGTTCACAGCCACTGTGGCGGTAAAATCCAGTTCTGTTGAGGCCATGGGTGTAAGATGACCTAGATCTCCTGCTGGAACTCCACTGTGAGATGGGCGCACTGGCTCTTCTTCTAGACAGACACACAAACAGAGCCCAAATAAATCCTCCAATTACGAGCCCAATTGCCATGGATACTGTGAAGGACATTATAAGGTCCTCTGAAACAAGGAAAACAAATAACTAAATTGATTTTGAAATAGATATTCAAATCAAGTAGAGTTTAAACTGTAATTCAGAGAATGCATCATTCATTTAAACATACTTTGAATTAGAGAAATACAAGATGGTGCCAAGTAGCTATGAACAAATGGAATCTACTAATATTTCTGTTTATTCAAGCTGAAAGATAGAAAATAACAGTTTCAGGTTGCTTGTGATAATTTATCATCTTTAGGAAATAAGAAATAAAAGCAGTCTCACTAAGGCCATATGTTAGGTAATTGTTTATAGAGTTACAATTGAAGTGCAAAGATCATTTCCTTTTGAGTGACATTAGCAATGAATGAGCCACGTTGATAAAGAATTCCTTCATCACTCTGACTTTGCCTTTTCCTCTGCATGCTTCCATCAGTCACTCGGATTTCTCCCACCTGCAGCTTTCATGATGCCTCACTTCCTGTGCTCATTTTGGGAGAGGAAGTGCTGAGATAGAGGCATCTGGTGAGCTGACTGATTTGTGTCATATTTCCTGAACTCCCAGACAGGCACTGTATCTCTGAGTCCTTGATGACTTGACCTGTGCTGACTACTGGGTTCATTCGTGTTGCTGAGATCCAGCTCATGCCAGTAGCCTGCCCTTGTTGTGATAATGAAATTCCTGTCCCCCATACCTGCACAGAGTCTCTGTTACACACTTGTATCCTCTCTTTCAGAGGACTGCATTTGTTCAGATTTCCTACTTGGGAGGTGGGACAGGGAGGGAATACCTTCCCCAAATGGCCTGTTGTGAACTAAAAACATGTTCTTCAGCAGATATCTGAGGCTCTGCTTTGCATGGATAAACCTGGATATTAGAAGATTTCTCCAGCCTCACTGTCCCCAACATTTTGCCATTCACCACCCCCTGATCTAACCGTGGAGCCATGGTTGTTTCCTCACTGCCTCAAAGCACGCCATTCTCTCTAAAACTCTGTGCCTTTCTGCATATTTTTCCTTGTATCTGGATTCAATGCTTAATCATCTTCTGTCTGGAAAACTCATTCTTTAAGATCTATTTCAAGTATCTAATCTTTGATAAAAAAAAACTCTCTGACACTTTCTAGACTAAAATGAGTGACCATTAAGTAGTAAGGCATGCCACCTTACCAAATTTCTCATCTAGGGGTTCAGTACTGAGACAAATATAGGTTGGAAATAAGCTGACTGGGATTGTAAGATTGCAGGGAGGAGTGGCCACAAATGCTTGGTACTTCTCCCACAAAGAGGAAGAGTCTACTTTTCCACCCCTTTAATATGTTTCTGTGGTAGAACTAACACTTGATTTATCTTAATAATTGATTGACAACTATCACTGATCAAGGGACAATTATTTCCACTCATGTATGATATAAAGAAAACAAATACTCATATTGACAGAATTGATGTCTTTGTTTTGTGTATAAACCTATTTAACTACTACTAGGGTCTTCCTGAAGGCTCTAAAATCTCAGGATACAAACAGGTGTAATGGGTGAAATAAAAAAGACATATTTCCTTTATTTCAGAAAAACAGAATCCCGGAGAAAATAGATTCAATAACCCAATAAAGAATTTAAAGGTTATGGAAGTTTCTATACATGGTCTTAATGTATACCTTAGACCCTCTGGAACAGAGTCTCTTCTGATTAAAAAAGTGTTATGTTTTATTACATGTTCTGACAGATGAAATATGCATGTTATTTCTACTGGAATAAAAACACATTTCATATTTGAGAAAAAAATTGAAACTTTAAAAATATACAACCAAGGGAAGATAATTTCTCTCCTATTAAAATGATTGAGAAAACTAGTAAAGACAACAAAACAAAAATACATGGTGTGAGAAACACTGATAAGTCAGACAATTGTTTTATTTCTAAAATATATTATTGTTCTGATATCAAAAAATTCAGATAATATCCCAACTCCAGGAGATAAATTATTAAAGAGTATCTTGGACTACCATGATCTTAAAAGACAAATTATGATTTTGTAAGTAAAAAGATTATTTTTTAAGACACTAGAATAGTATTTCTAGGAGAGCAATTTGACAATTTACCTATTTAAAATAATCATCGTCTATGGCCTTATAATAATTTGATTCAACATTGTAGACCTATAATCTGAACTTCAAATTTGGAGAAATGACTCAAAATGTCATCAATTATAGGGTTATATACATAGCTGAAAAGGATTAAATTGTGAATTTAAAATATACACGAGATTCATAAGAATAGTCTACACATCTCAATAACATGTAATTTAAATTTTAAATATAAAGTAGGATTAGAAGGAGGTACAGAAGTTATTTATAAAAATGATATAGGAAAAGATAATGCATTACATAGGAATTTGCTTAATTTTGCTCAGTTGGATACATACCAGGAAAATCACTTCCTAACCCTTAAAGTCAGTAAAATACATATATAGAAATCATTGCACTAAATCTTATAACCCTACTATACATACAAAATCTTTAAAATAGTTATGAGTGATTAGAGCCAACATAAGACTTTCAAAGACCTCCTATGATATATGGTAAAATATTTATCTATCTTGTTAAGTTCTCTTAAGTCCAAACTGCAAAAATAAATGTAGAAATGCAGAAAAGCAATGAGCAAGAAATGTCTGCTGTCATAACTGAAGTGCAGCCTAGTCCTCCAGAATGATTCCTTTTATTTAACTCTAAGTTATAATTTTCTGATCTGCCTACACTGTAGAATTCAGGAACTATATAACAAAAGCACCACCTATTGGTCGAACAGCTTTAAATTTTCATATATATAATTCCATTCTGGCAGACTTTTGGCAATAAATTTTGGCAGCTTTTTTTTTTTTTTTTTGCCTTAGTTGGAGGAAAATGTAACTCAAAATAACAAAGACATTGGCAGAGATATTGCTTCTTTGAAAACTGGATGCCTTCTTACTTTCCAAAAATCTTAAGAAAAGAAAAATAAAGCTTAATATTACATTTTACAATTAAAATATAATGTCAATAGTGAGACCAAATGATAACTTTTAGAAATGTCGATCTCCCTTGGACAGCAGAAGGAACAAACTCGAACACTGGTAAGGCATTTTAGTAAATTAAATACTGTTATCATAATTTGTAACCTGTATCTACACAATGGCAAGTTCATGGTACATGAAAAGCCCTCCATGAATGCTAGTTCTGACTGCTAATAGTTGAGCCATTTAATCAAATCATTTTACCCTTCTTGGCCTGGTAACTACAGCTACAATAGAGCCATCCAATTCTAAGATTCAAATATTCAATATGGTTTACAAAAATGTAATCAATACCTCAAATTCTAGCCATTGGTATTAAAATTAAGTAGAGGTCACCATCTAGTGACCTTGAGTTGAATCATTCCAATATGTGAAATAGATTTTTTCATTTTCTTTTTTGTTTCATTTGAAAATGCTAAGAGCCTGAAGGACTCAGGAACATAATTTTTCATCATAAACAGCATTGGGAAGAATAAACCATGGTGATTTCCATGAGCATTATAAAGAGAAGTTTTGTAAAAACAAAGAGAAGCACTCATAGTGCATGACCAGTAAGGGTTTTGGAGGAGGGATGCATCACCCAGTCCCTCCCTACGATGAGTTACAGATTGACTTAGGCGATCCTGGAGAAACCGGCACCCATTCCCAGCTTCCAGGGAAGATGACAAGCCCCTGAGAGAAGCCCTGGGGTCTGAGAGGCAGAGCAGGAGGTGAAGTGGGGTGGGAGGGCAGTGGGGAGTTTGTCCATCCAGGTTGAGGGCACCTGTTACAGCCTCAGCCTCCTGCCGCTCTCAGGTTATGAGACCATACTCGAGATTGTTCTGTGCCACCGATTCAGATGGAAAAGTATCTAAATAAGGTTCAGTAGATGAGAGGGAGCTACAGACAGGAAAATCCATACCGTTAGCTACTATTACACACATCTTATGAGCCAGATTTTATAGCAAGGGATTTCAGCCATGGAGGCAGGAGGAGAAAGTCCATGCCCCCAAGCCGACAAGAAGTACGTGTCGCTAGATGTCAGCAGAGGCCACAACTTGACCAAGCGTTGAGGATCCCCGCGCTCCCCTACCGTGATAGACTAGGATTCCCCGGGACCCCCAAACACCTTTCCCTACCTTAACGAATTACTAAGGAGGTATAACAGGGAAAGACTTAAAGTCACTGCGTCGCTAGTGATTAGGATAAAGGAGCTCAAACTTTCACACTGACATGGAAAATCTTAGAGAAGTGTTGCCGACCTGCCTTTCCAACCAGTCCCTGTAACTTCCATACACAGCTTTCTGGTGAATCTATTCACGTCACCGTCACCATAAATGTGCCTGGGTGTTTTTACTTCTGTATAACTTGCTGGTAACATTTCTCCTGAGCTCCTTGAAATTCATTTCAAGCCGTACCTTTTTTATGTCACTAGCTCCTAATACATTTAATGTGGTCAGCCAGTGCTTCTAAGAGAGCGGATGAACGGAGTGAGAAAGAGTTGACCAGTGAAAAAAATGAATGACTAGAAAGTCCTTCTTAGAATTGTCTCCCTCGGTGAAATTTATCTCACTGTCTAGTGTTTCTGAAAAGGATTTAAGAATCATCTCAGCCATATGGTTTTTAACTCCTGTAAAATGCTGTCAATCATTGCTATTCTATCATATGTTGTCATTATTTATTCTATAACTACGCAGGTTTGTATTTTCATACGTATGGACAAGTAGTCACCTTCAAGAGAGTACTCCTCTTGAGTCAGACACTGTACTTTAGATGAGGATTAAATTAGGTGAATTAATGCAAGCTCTTGTACCAATAGTGTCCCCCAGTTTCCACAAAGGCAGACCAATAACAAAAAGGACAAAGCAAGACAGCAGAACAACAGAAACTGTTATCTCCTGGAGGTTTCCAAGTACTAAGAGAGTAACTGACTTCAATGATATTTTCTTCTATTTCCTTAGGGCAAGGCACAGCGAATTTTCACAGGCCGTCTTTCTTGCTGCTTTTGTGGGGAACGTTTATAGAGGAGGGAAGCCCATTAAAGAAAGCGTAGGTAGGTAGTATGAGGTGGTGGCTATGTGTGTTGTCGCTCTCAGTGAACTTTGTTGCCAACCCTGCACTAATTACCTTAATAATTGCACATATCCAGTACCTTTTAGTGAGTGATAACTGTAAAAATGTAAGCTATCATTATTGGTAATAACCTAATACTGTTATCTCAGCATTCAGTAAAGTAAACCAAGAATGTTATATTTGTAAAGCAACTTTTTATGTACCTTAAGTATAAGTCTGGGAAATGTATATGGTCCAACATAAAAGTTTTTGCTTTTCTACACTATTCTTTCTTTATTTTCCGAATTCAAAGTACCAAGAAGAAAACTGATTTAGGAAGCAATAAATAACACAATGCACTGTACAAGAGTCTCAAAATAACATTTTTGGGAAGTCAGTGGTCAAAGGAGATAGCATCTTAGATATAGAAATGTGGAAATTTAAAAATTGACCTTGGTATTTCAAGAAGCCTTTGCATTTTTATGTATTTACATCTATCGTGACATTTTATACTTACTACTTCTAGCCTATTAGCAATAATGAAATCTTTCATTTATTTTTTCCAAATCATCAAACATGGTATCTGCTCACCATAACCTTGTTAGGTTTTGCTAATGCTTGTCAGCGCAGCACTCTGCCTGGTTTTTATTGTTCCCACCTGTTTTCCATTATCTTCACATACTAAGAGAAAGGAACACTAGGACCTGTCTTTGGAATAACAGTAAGTTTGAATTCCCTTTTAAACACAGATTTCCATATTAAAAACCTCTACATTTTTAGGCCACAAATAAATATTCTCTTACTAAATTCAGGTTTATTTTAATGATTATTATCAATGTTTTTGTCAGTAGATATTATTTTTCTTAAGTAGACTGGAATTTTAATTTTGGATAATTGGAAATAATAGATCTGGCTTCCACAAATTAATTTCTGTAATAAGAGTTACTTTACTTTTGAATAGTTTGTATAATTACTTATTTTTGTAGTGATGAATTTAATTTAGATAAACAAGCCAATTATCGTGTGTGTTTAGTACATTTACTTTTGAAGACAGCAAAGGATATTTTAACAAGCATATAATTTAGACCCCCCCCCCACAATTCAAGGTCTTATCATTAATGCTACTACCTAGAATAACCTGTTACCAAAATCACTCTTTACACTATGGAAGCATAATGTCTATTTTTCTTAATTTTGTTATATACTTCTATTAGGATGTTCACCAACAGCCATCCTTTCAGGCATGAAACAAACATAAATGTCTGGTGAAAAACAAAAAGAATGAATTAGTTCCCTTTGTACAAATTTCTGTGATGGTTGACAATCAGGAGAAATTCCTGGAAACAGTCACTGTTGTTCACTGTTCACTAGAAAGTTCCCCAAATCCTGCCTTGAATCACAGCAGTTAGTCTGAAATAGTTTTCTGAGAAGATAAAAAAAAGCTTGTTTTGGACATAAATAGAGCTATAGAACGCTTTAAAACTGCCATTTTTGTTTTAATTTTTTTTTTTCAGAATTTAACTCAGATTGCTCCCTTTGCTTTTAAAATTTCTCTGAACACAAGTGTACTTGTCAACCTCCAGCCTTTGCCCTTCCTTGGACCTCTAGTCTGCAGAGACTGGTAGTTTTGACCTCCTGTGCCCTTAGTCAGCATCAGGGGACACTGTAATTCACTGTGGCTGGATTCACTCAAAAAAATCCTTTTGTATTGTTCCTTTTTCCCACCACAGACGTCCATTAATTTATTTCCACTTACTCTTTTCTACTATACTTTTCTCAAATTTCATATTATTCCACATTTCATCTTTGTTATCACACTCTAAATTAGTTCATCTAAGTATAGATTTATTTAAATTCTCTTTGGAATTAAAGACTGTAACACTGACAATATAAATCAAAGTTGCCCCTATAGAAAATCTTAGTTTCATAAAATAAGATACAAATAAAACTCAATTCTTCCAACCAAATTCATATTCCATATTCTAAACAGAAATCACTTTCACCTTTTTTCCTTTTCTGACTTTTTATTCTCATTATTTTCTAATTATATTTTGTAACACCAGCCAAAATCTCTACTTGTTGTCCTGATTCTTCTTAAATGTTTTCATACCCACTTTAAAGACATTTTATGTACTATATATTTCTTGTAATAAACCTCTGAAAACTCTATAGCAAACAAAATGTCTCAGAGTTTTCTAATGTGTTAATAAATTATTCAGCAATTTCTCTGCATCCTAAATTTTAAATTCAAAACAGTAAAAGAAAATACCTTACCCCAAAAGTTTTCTGGCCATGGACTTCCTAAACTTGTTGTGTTATTAGCCATAATATCCACAAGATATAGGAAAAAGAGAAGAAAAGAAAGAAAGAAGAAAAACCAGTATGTCCAGAAGAAGCAGCTTGATTCTATGTCTTTGTAGTTCAGCAAGAGAAAAATAGTTTTCACACAACCCCTCATGTACTTCTGTTTGCATGAAAGGAAATAAGTGTATCATGTTTCCTGCTTTTATACTCAAATTAGCAACTGGTTTTCTTATCTTGGAATTCCACATGGTTCCTGAGATACAAAACAATGTCCTTCTCCTCATTTCCTCAGCTAAATTCCTAAGTACTCTCCTTCCAGCCCTCTCCAAAGCTGTTTTCAGGATAATAGGCTTTTTCTTGGTGTTTCTTCATCACCTACTGACAGACATAGGCACACTCCAAACGCTCAGCCACAGTACTCTGAGTTACATTTACATGGAACTTAGAAATAAATGCTTCCCAATTCTTATAAATTATATAGTAAATTGATGGTGAGGGGGAAGGAAGTGGTCTATTCAGAATTCCAAGTTCTACTCAAGTGCAATTAATTTTACCTAACAATCCATTGTTTATACATTTCAGATACTTATTTAAAATTCTTAATGTTTCTTTCCCTAGTTGGTATATTAATTTTTTCAAGTTATTTCTTAATTCATTTCATAAATATGTAATTATAATTTATAAGTAATTTTTGGTGACTCTTAAATTAGTATTTAAATATGAAAGGAACAGTTTCTACACTGATGGAATCTATTTAAAATCAAGTAGAGGACACATAACGCAAAGCCTTCCTTTACAAAAGAATGTTAAGGACCATAATAAGTTGCAAAGATTATAGAAATTTGTTTTTCATGGCAAAGTACTTATCTGAAATAATATAGGAAAGGGTTGCATGAAACTTTTTGGGAGATACAGGTTAGTTAAAATTTCCAGAGTCTGTCTATGAGCTTTGCTGGTTTAGCCTGGATTCTCCAAGCATTGGCAGCCATTGGCAGTGTGAATAACAGTGCCCAACTGCACTTAATAACTATGCTGAATTACTTAACCACCATCTGGCTTCTTCAATCTTTGAGTGACTCTAGCATGAACTTTTGCATTAACCCTAATAGTTCCTGCTTATCTTCTCAACGTTTATGAACATAAGTTACCATTAAATTTATTGGAAACTAAAATACTTACCAATCTAAAAAAGATAATAGATATAAGTTAAGTTTAAATTCATTGGAAATTAAAATGTAGATGATCTAAAAGAGAAATATAGAACATCATAGAAAATTTATAGAATTCACTAAGCAAATACGAAGACTCACTTCTTAATATTCTTGCCAGAGTTTACTTCCTAATAAATACTCATTATTCTTTAAAAAAGACAAAAACAGTTCACATTTCAACAGTTACCTTTACTTTTAAATATAGTTAACAAGGTTTGTAATAGAAAATTAAAAGATGTCATTTCTGAAAAAAATATAATCTAGATGAAAGTGAAACACTAAACACTTTTCTAAAAACATTGAGAGAGATTCTTCAATTACTATATGATTTTTAAATATTCATTTTGCTCTATTAAAATCTACCTTATTTCATTAAATTCTAATTTCAAAGATGTGTATAATTTCAGAAAGAGACACATAGACACCATTTTCCCTCAAACAGCAAATCCAAATGAGTGGAATGGATCACTGTCTTTGCTTTAATTACCTTCTGTGCAGAAACAGCTCATTCCATTTCAGGGCTGGGATGCAGGCTGAGACTTCCTTTTATTGTTTTATGTTTAACTATCTAAATTTTTTCCTAGTAAGTTTTCAGTTTTGCAGATGGTCAGATTCCAGTTCAAACCCTGAGGAAATTTTTTTTTGTATCAATTTATGACCTAGGAATATTTTTCTCTTTTGGTAATAGCTTGTTGATAGTTTAACTCTAACTGGCATAAATAATTTGCTTGGAGAGGATTCATACGTTTCCTGGCAGAGATCCATACAAGTGAGTGTTTATGTCTATGTGATTTTCAAGTCCCATGACTTGTCATGCCATAACAGGAAGTTGATTTTTATCTTTAAAAAAATGTTAACCTCTGCTTTTCTACCGTTCGTTATTTCACAAGTTGGGTCTTCAGATCTAAGTTTTTCAGAAATCATAAAATACATTTGGAGTTTATGCTTCCCTCAGACATTGAAAGAACTCCCTCATTCTCTTCACTCAGGTCTCTGCCCAGAAGTTACCTCTTCAGACGGTATTCACTAACCACCGTGTCTCAAGTGAGTTTACCACTTAAACTGCTCTCTCTCCCCTGATCTAACATTATTATCTTCTTCAGAGATATTGTCACTTCCTGCCATTACATGATATGTATATGTTAGTCTTACTAGTTGCTATAAGAAAATGGCCTAAACCAAATGGCTTTATAAAAGCAGAAAATGATTTCTCACGGTTCTGGAGGCTGGGAAGTCCAAGATCAAAATCTCAGCAAACTAGAGTCCATTTAGGGGTCATTTCCTCAAAGATAGCCATCTTTTCACTCTCAACTCACATCATGGAAGGGGTGAAGAATCACTCTCAGCCTCTTTTATAAGAATAGTAATTCCATTCAAGAAGGCTTCACTCCATCATCCCATAATCTCCTAAGTTCCCTACCTCCTAATATCATCACCTTGGTGGGTGAGGATTTCAACATATGAATTTTGAGGGAATGTAAACATTTAGATGGTATCAAAATCCTTTGCTTTTTTGGTTGTGTTTTGTCTCTTTCACCAGAAACAAGTTTCATGGGGATAGGAACTTATTACTCTTGCTCAGAAACTATATCTCCAGTAGCCAAAATAGTACCTAGAGCATAATGGGCTCTTAATTCATATTTATTAAATGAGGCAATGAAATAATTTGAATGTTTCCTCTGTTTGTCCTTTAAGTATAATCATGTGGGGGGAGAAGAGTTGATCTGGCACTGATGGTAATGAGACAGGCATTGAGAATTGTTTCAGTATGTTTTGTGCTGCTATAATATAACAGAATTACCAAGCCTGAGTAATCTATAACGAACAGGCTCATGGTTCTCAAGGCTGTGAATTCCAAGTGCAAGGCATGTGTACATGGCAAATGCCTTCTTGCTGCATCATCACACAGCAGAAGAAAGAAGGTCAGGAATGCAAGATGGGGATGAACTCACCCTATTGCAACAGCATTAATCCCACTGATGAGGGCAGGGCTCTTAAGGCCTAATCATTTCTTAAAAGTCCCATTTCTTAATACTGTTACAATAGCAATTAAATTTTAACATGAGTTTTGGAAGGGACAAACATTCAAGTCATGGAAAGAACCAACCTGGTAAGGCCTGAAGAATTCAGTACTGCCAAAAAACCATGATGCTTCACTGACTTTATCTTACCCCTAAGAATATTTTACTTTGATTCATATTTTGATAATTTATAGTAAGGATCCTACAGCCTATGTATATTTTAATAAAAAAACTATTTAGCATGGTATAATTTGCTATGATTGCAATAATGTAAGCTACTAAGTAAATAAAATAATGTTCATTCTTAAGTATTACCAAGTCATTTATCTAAAAAAGTCTCATTCTAAAACCTACTAGTATCAAGGGCCAATATTTGTCTTAAATTTTAGAAATCAATTTCATTCTTTTTTTAAAAAAAATTAAGTCTTTACTATTTTTTCTGATTCTCTAAACATACATTTGATATATTGATATTCAAATTCTCATTATACTGGAATCCAAATTGCCCAGACCTAGAAGATACTACTCATTTCAAAGAAGCCAAATGTCAATTTGTAGCCTCTTCAGTCACCACGGTTGTCAATTCTTTCTTTTTACCTTTAAATCTTCTTTTCAGTCTATAGATATTTATCCTTAACTAAGAGAAGGAAAAGAAAAGCTGAAGAGATTTTTCACTACAACATTAGCCTTTATTTTATTTTGACCTTTTAGCTCTGATCATAATTTTGAAAGCCACTTACGTTGTTGATGATAATAGATTTACAAGCCTCATTTTCTGTTTTTTATATTCGTACATATGCATAGCATATTCCCGCACATGTTTTTCCTGTTTTGTGCATTTCTCTTAAATATCTATATGTAATATATATATATATATTTTTACTTCCATCTGCAATGCAAATTTTTTCCATACCATATTTTTTTATATCACTTTTTTCTTAACTTAGCTTCAGGTCAAGTTTTCATAAACCACTTTCTCATCCTTTTCTGAATTTCTATTCAAATTTTAATTATAAAATTCTTTAACTGATTATTTTCTGAATGTGACCCATATATTGAATTTTTCTCATGGATTATGACACATGGTGTGTCTCGCTCATATTTTAAAAATCTTATACCATCTCTCTGGACATAAAGTAGTTACTTAATTGCTATCATTTATCTTGATTACTAGATAATTAATATTATGTATGTCTTCTTCACTATTTTAATTATTAGATGTTAGTTAACCTAATAAAATAGTACTATTATTAATGATTCTCTATTATACTTTATTATAAATATAACAAAATATGTCATGCATATTTGATAATGCATGATAATGTTTGTTGATGATTCTTAGGAGTATTTAGTATATTGTTATAACTATTTGAAGGCTTATGAGTAAAATATTAGAGCAAAATTGCAAAGTGTCTTGATCTTAGAAATATAAAATTTATCAAAAACCATTTGATTTCATAATTTGTTACATACTGTCCATACTTCCCTGAATGGAATCTGTCAACTTAGGAATATTTATCCGACCTGTTTCTCTAATTGCACTTTCCACCAAGTGACAGCCAGTGAGCAGTGGGCTGTGCTGCTCATCCTGGGGATGGCTTTTTATTTTATTTTTTTCTGTGGGGAGGTCCTTAGGTGCAGAGGACTGAGTTGGCTGTATTCATCCTTTCCTGATAGGCTTCACTAGTGGCCCATGCTTTCTAACATCTTCGTGTGTTTATTTTCGCCACATCATTTATTATTTATCTTACTTTATTTATTTATTCCTTTTCATCCCCATTCACCATTTCTATGTCCCTCCCTCCAACAACCACCATTCTAACGTGTTATCACTCTACCTATTACTTGATAGATCCCTGTGTAACACACAGCAAGTGAGTGCATACATTTTTAGTAAGTGGCGTGGTGCTCTAAGCTCATTCTGTCCTTCCCTTTTTC